GGGCATGGAACCAAATTTTTCTAGCCCTTACACTCCACCACATAATGGTACTGCAGAAAGATTTAATAGAACCCTTATTGAGAAAACTAGGTCACTTATGATTGATTCCGATTTGCCCAAGAGTATGTGGCAACTTGCTGTAGATGTATCTATAAACTTATATAATAGAACTCCTAATAAATCAATTGACTTCAAGATTCCTTTGAAGTTAATAAATCCTGAAGGCAAATGCCACATAGACAAAATTAGAAGGTTTGGAAGTATTGCTTCCATACACGCCCTTGAAACAAAATTCTCAGCCAAGGCTATTAAAGGTGTGCTGGTAGGTCAGACATCAAATGGTTATATACTATGGCATCCCAGCTCGGGCAAATTTGTTCACTCAAAGCACGTTAAAATCAAGGAAAAACTAACATACAAAAATATTGAGAACAAAACAATTTTAGAAGATAGCATTAAAAGAAATCAAGATATTGAATTAGAAGATGAAAAAGAAAAGACAGTGCATTTATATGGAGATAATTTAGAAGTATTAGAAGTCGAAGAAGATAATCTTAAAAACATGAAACTAACATCAAACCAAAACATGAGAGTCGATAGTTCAGCCAAACCTAAATCTAAAGGGAGTAAGAAGGTCCGATTTAAGGAACAAACTATAGATGTAGAGCCCATTAGAAAGCAACCGAAAAGAAATGTAAAAACTGCCAAAGACTATAAGGCCATGGATAAAGGAACTTCTGATGCTCGAATGGTAGTAGATGTCAGCTTTGCGTTTTTAAGTGAAATAAAAAGCATTAACTTAGAAGATAAAGATGAGTCAGTATTTGCTCTTTTGGCTGTCATAAATCATGATCCCATTAGTTTTAAAGAAGCAATGAGCATTGAAGACAAAGATGAATGGCTTATAATAGTTAAAGAAGAGTTGAAATCAATGGAAATCAACAAAGTTTGGAGTTTGGTGGACAGGCCAACAGTCTTGAGGAATGGTAAACGAGCAAATGTTATTGACTCTAGATGGGTATTTAAGAAGAAATTAGATGAATTATACATACTAAAAAGAAAAGGTAGGCGCGTTATTAGAGGATTTATGGATAAAAATAATTATGAGCTCAGAGAAACATATGCACCAGTTTCTAGACTGCCGGTTATAAGAGCAGCTCTAGCTATTATAAACAAATTGGATTTAGAAGTCCGCCAGTTAGATGTTAAAACAGCTTTCTTAAACGGTACTTTAAATGAAGATGAAGAAATTTATATGGAGATACCAGAGGGCTTAGAAGTAGATGAATTCACTAGAAAGACTAAAGTTTGTAGATTACATAAGGCACTGTATGGTTTGAAAATAAGTCCCAAGAAGTGGAATGAATGTTTCACAGTAGAAGTACTAAAACTGGGTCTGCAAAAAGATATTGATGAGCCCTGCCTGTTTACTTATAGATATCAAGGGATTGTTGTTTTTCTAGTCTTGTATGTGGATGACATTATTGCGGCGAGCAACTGTTCAAAGAAATTAAAAGAAATAATAGATTATTTGAGCGGTGTTTTCTAAATGAAAAACTTGGGCGAACCAAAACAGTTCTTAGGCATGACTATCAAGAGAGATAGAAGTAATAAAATATTGACAATCAATCAAACAGATTATGTTTATAAAGTGTTAGAAAGGTTTGGAATGACTGATTATAATCCACACGAAACACCTATGGTTACTCGACAAGCTAGAAGCAAGAAAATCAACCAAGATCAAGAAAAGACTAGAAGAAAATTAGATGTCCTATATAGAGAGATCATTGGATGTATTTCATATCTGGCGAATGCTTCACGACCGGATATTTCCTTCGCGGTAAATTTCCTCTCGCGTAAGCAATCTAATCCCACCGAAGAAGATTGGTTAGATGTCAAAAGAGTACTTAGGTATTTAAAGGGGACAGCCAAGTTAGGACTTACTTTTAGAGGTAATGGTGATACTTTAGAAGCTTACTCTGATTCAAGTTTTAAAGATTGGCCAGATTCCACTTCCACAAGTGGCATAGCCATTTCATTGTATAAAGACACCGTTGCATGGAGAAGTCATAAGCAAACTTTGGTAACCTCTTCAACTTGTGGGTTAGAGTATTTGGCTATGAGTGAGGCATGCAAAGAAATCGTTTCGTTAGATAAGGCATTAAGAGATATATTAGGCTACACCATGTATCCAGTTACTCTGTACTGTGATAATCAATCTGCCAGAGATTGTACCCAAAAGGAGGGTAGTCACAAACTTAAAGATTTTGATGACACTTTAGAAGAGATTAAGAAACGTCTGGATGAAAGAAAAAGAATAGGTATTAAAAGAAAGTTGTCTGATACTCACGGAGATTACGTGAAACAGTGTGCTTTAGAAGGTAAAGTCAGTAGTAGAAGGGTATCTATTAATGATAATATCGCTGATATATTTATTAAGCCGCTTCCTCTTCAACCATTTAGAAAATTTAGAAATATATTGTTGAATTATTGTAATTGATTTTAGATACATAAATGTAAAAACATTCTCTTATTTAAATTTTTCAGAGGCGGCTGCTGTCACTAATGCTGATTAGAGACGATAATGATTTGTTTAGATGAATTTAGAAGTACTTAATTAAGAAGATGTAGTATGAAATAAGTCAAAAGTTAACTATGAGAAACTGTTAGTTCCTATTTTTTATTTTGTATTTTAGATTGTAAGATAGATTTCAATATTCATTAGAATATTGTGCGTTCTGTGATCAAAAATATATATATTATTTATTTAATTAAACAAATTTAGTTTAAAAGTTAGATGTGACATAATTAATGTTTAGAAGTTTTTCTTTTTTGTATTTAAACATATGGAATGCAAAGCAAGAGAGGGAGTGTTTAAGATAGCTTGCTAAGCATTTCATGTGTGCGCATGCGCGCACTCTGTAAGAGTGTGTGTGTACTATAGTTGCGTATAGCGGCCTGCGAGCCGCTGATATATGTATGTTAAGCTTCACTTGGATTGGAACCGTCTGGCTGTACACAACTCTCTGCGAGACGTACAAATAAATCTCTCTGTTAAAATAGAATCTTGTGACAATCATTTATTCTATCCTCCGCTTAACTTCCATCATTTTCAAAATATTTTTAAAACGTATTCTGATACTAGCCTATTATGGATCAAAGGATTTGCATCAAATTTTGTTTAAAAAATAAAATAAAGTGCTCCGAAACACTTGAAATGTTGACGGTGGCATACGATGAGTATGTTCTGTTAAAGTTACTGTTCTGAGTAAAAAAAATGTTGCTGAGGATGTTGGTGTATCACTTGGCTCGTGCCATGAAATTTTTTCTAACGTTTTGGGCATGAGACGTGTGTCAGCGAAGTTTGTTCCGAAATTGCTAAATTTTGACCCAAAGAACCGTCGCATGAGCATCGCTCAAGAACTGTTGAATGACGTCAACGACGACCCAGATTTACTCAAAAGGGTCATAACTGGTGACGAATCATGGGTATACGGTTATGATATCGAAACCAAAGTCCTATCGTCCCAATGGAAGAGCCCAGATGAGCCAAGACCGAAAAAAGCACGTCAAGTTCGATCAAATGTCAATGTTTTGTTCACTGTTTTCTTCGATTACCATGGCGTGGTGCATCAGGAGTTCTTACCATATGGACATACGGTCAATAAACAGTATTATCTTGAAGTTATGCGCCGTTTGCGAGAAGCAGTACGAAGAAAACGTCCAGAATTGTGGAAAAGCAATTCATGGCTTTTGTATCACGATAATGCCCCTGCTCACTTATCTTTGCTTGTGAGAGATTTTTTGACCAAAAACAACACCACAATCATGCCTCAGCCACCATATTCACCGGATTTGGTCCCATGTGACTTTTTCTTGTTCCCAAAACTAAAGAGACCTATGAAAGAACGGAGATTTGCAACGATTGAAGAGATAAAGACTGCATCGCTGGAAGAGCTCAAGGCTATACCGAAAAGTGCTTATGAGAAGTGCTTTGAGGATTGGAAAAACCGTTGGCATAAGTGTATTGTATCTGAGGGGGATTACTTTGAAGGGGACAACATAAATATTGATAAATAAATAAATATTTTTTCTTAAAAATACAAAGTCACCTTACTTTTAGATCACACCTCGTAATAGTGCCTGACTGTGTCGGTAGCGACCAGAACGGGTGCTTGTAAGAACGTTAGAGAGTAGATACCCTAGATTTTAACGTCGGGTAACTATAGGTTTTCATTACTAGCCAGTGGCCTTTACCATATAAGACCATAAGTAGTTGAGACGTCACACATTCAAGTGACACAGGTAAAACTATTTTTATTTTCAATAGTCTACATAATTAATTTACCTGTAATGTTATAAATACTATTGATTGTAAAATTATCTTATTACTGGATTATTAAAAATATTTTACTTTATATCTTACCGAATTTTCTAAGGCCCTCGCCACATATGCGCAGACGCGCGCGTACGAGGGCGTACAAACGCGTACAAATCGCTAAAAATTTTGATAGTGCCAACAACAGAATGTTACTACTATTCCTCGCATGCCCCAAACGAACACACTTACTCCCAGAACAAACGTATCGTAACTTTCAATAATATAGCGTTATGATACGTTTATTCCGGGAGTGTGTTCGTTGGGGCATGCGAGGAATAGTAGTAACTTTCTGTTGGTACTGTCAAAATTCTTAGCGATTTGTACGCGTTTGTACGTCCTCGTACACGCACATATGCGCATATGTGGCGAGGGCCTAATATTTTGCCCTGACTCTAATTTTGATGTTGGAACCTAATATGGAAAACTTATTTTATTTGTTAGGTAATCAATTGTATACGAACTTACAAATATTGTCAAAAAATTAATATTTTATTTAATGAACTTTCTAAATATAATATTTATTTGTAGAACTTCTCAAAAAGCTAATTATAAGTACTAACTATTAAGGTCTTTCGAATTGTTCTGCAATCTCCTAAAGATTGTATATGTATCTCTTAAGATTACTATCAGCTGTTTGTATTTACCTTATAAAATAAATTATTTTGTTGTAAGCGATTGCAGCTTAAATGATATTAATGCAAATGGAATAATGACTATGACGTCACAATATAATAATGAACGTATTATCATGGAGTCATATAATAATAAATCCATGCAACATCATATTGTGGACCGCTTAAAACTGCTTTATCCTATGGTGAATGAAGAAGAAACGCCTTTGCCAAGGGCGTGGAGTCCAAAAGATAAATATAATTATATAGGACTCTCACAAAATAATCTGCGTGTACATTACAAAGGTAGAAATTTAGTATTTTTTAAGTCACTTGTAGATTTTAAGGACATACTTCAATCAATTTTAAAACATTTATGAATTAGTAAAAATGTAGACACTGTACTATTGATACCTATATAAGAATATTATGTCAATTTCAATTTTAAATTAAGAAGTATATGCATATTTGTAAGTATTGGGAGATAGGGAGGCATCCTTGCATATGTATGTATTGAAATTAAATGGATGAGAATATATATATATATATTTCTTTCTATGTATAGTTTTAGTAAGCCTCTATAGCTTATTGAAAATTTTTATTATTAACAAAATTATTTTTCATATTTTACCACTTTACCAAAAATCGTAAAACCATTTTTTGGTCATATTAGTCATTTTTCTTATGAATTGATTTAATGAATTGCCTAGAGAGTGTGGGGGCTATTTATAATGAAAGTATTAATTTATAAAAAATAATTTAGGAATTAGGAGAATCTAAGAAATTTTTTAAAAATCAAGAAGAAAAATAACAAAGAAAAAGCTTTTATTTAAAAAAGAAATGTTTTAATTTAGTACTACATGCCGTTATACTGTAATCATAATATTGCAAAAATACCAGCATTTTATAGGTTTCTAGTTCATCTAAACTTTTACAACTTTTTGTTTCTTATAATATTAATAATTAATGATATATAACTAATTTATTGTAAATAAATTAAATTATACTAACCTGTAACAATATAAATTGTATCTTGTTTTAATACTGTTTAATGTATGTAATATATATATTACAATATTTGAAAGTTAATTAAACAGATAAAACTGCTACGAATAAAAATAAGAAAAATTATTAATAGTGAATCAGAGGACCATGTAAACATTTTCTTCGCTACACATATTTTGTGTATCTCAATGGCTTAGTCAAGTGTATAAATCTTGCACATCCAGTTGTCTTAAGCTTGATTCAAGACCTTTTATATTTTTTACCAACATTAACATAGGATAGGTTTCATATGACTACAAAGTTACACTGTGTTGTGGAAGCATTATTTTTTGTGTCCAAGATGCTTGAACTTAAAAATTATAAATGACCAAATATTTATCTTACATAAGATTTTCTAGCTAAAAAAGTTGTATTTGGAATTGACAGAAGAAATTGAAGGTTCATTAGAAAATGTAGAAAATAGGAACGGAAACAATTGATCAAAAAAGTAAATTGGTCAAATATTGGTGTTTAAAGTAAGAAAACAAGAAAGATCATCTCGATAAAAGAAGAACTTGTTCACCGAAATAATTACTATACTGTATACTATTGGAATGATTTACATGAAAAGAAAATAAAGAGAAGATATGGTTATTGCAGCAAACATTGTTAGGAAAGTTGAAAAAGATACGTGAATATACAAATGGACATAAATGTTTAGAATATAAAAATGTAATTGAGAGCAATATGGTTTGAGTCTAACTATAAAGACTTTTCTTGAATCCTTTAACATATTGAACATAAAAGACATTAGGGTGAGATAGAAATTCTGTAGCATGAAAACGATGTAAAATGAATTGCCTGATGCATGTAACTAAAAACTAAAACCAATGAAGATAAACATATGAATACATACACATAACAAAAATCTATTATTATAATAGAAGCAAAAGGTTTTGTAAAATGAATCATATTTAATATAACTAAATGGTTGATAGATATCAATATAAATGTATATGTTGTTGAGAAATAGAAGGATCTTTAAACATTTCTTCATCTGTAATGGTATTGGAAAATTCTTTAATTTGTTAAGTAGGATTTTATTTAATTAATTTTGTGTTTTTTATATATGACTTAACATTACACAAGCTCTTCTTCATGCAATAATTCTATAAGTAACAATTAACATTGAAACAACCTATAGTATATATAATTATTAATGTTTCTACATCTATAAATTTGTCATTTTTCGACATTACAAAAATAATGTATCTTGTTTCTTCAATTTTGGTGCCTATAAACAGCATTTTACGTATAAAGCATGCTCAACGCAAAAAGTCGCACAATACAGCGGAGCAGGCTTCTCCGCTGTATTATCTCGATACGATTGAGGAGTCTTTCCTCAGTTGTAAAGTAATGCCCTGTAAAAGGAAATTTTTCTAACTATAGGAAAGTAATCTCGGTCTCTTTAAAATTAAATATATTTTCAATAGAAGGGAAACGTGCATATTTCTACTATAATTTATATGTTCATCCTTGACGCTATCGCGATCTATGAGTATGGTATTAAAAATATTTAAAGAATGAATCTGTCAAGGATGTTTGTGGTAAATAAAGAAAATATAGATGCAACAAGTGACAAATACGAAGAAAATGATAATGACAATAGTGAAAATAAATTTATCAAATTTATTGAAAAAACGAAGTCAAGTGGGCACAGGATAAAAATCAGTTTATAAGCATAAAACTGAAAAATTTTTAACGTAGTTTGGACTAACCGCGTTGTATGCTATTCGAATTGTTTTAAAGAAAAAGAGGCGGAGCGCCCGAGGCCGGACAGCGGCCAATGACGCTCCTAGTCCAGTAAAAATAGGCCTGAAATGTTTTTGTCACATAAGTGGATGCATTTTTGATATATGGTAAATTGAGGTCGAAAAAGACGATTCTGAAATTTGCAGAGTTCTAGGTCCAGGGGTTCTAAGAGAAAATCACGTTTGAAATTTTTTTTCGCCTGTATCTCGCGAACGGCTGGACGTACGACAAAATAACATGCACCAATCGAAAGAGCGTGAAATTTTACATCAGAAACAATGTTTAACCCGACATCGATGAGTGTAAAATGTTGAGATAAAAAATAAATAAGAAACTTTACGTGAATAAGGAGAAGGGGAAGGCTGGGGAAGGCGCGGTATAGTTTCGCTCTCCTCCGCCGCCCCTCCAAGCGTGCGCAGACAGTCGACGACACTCGGCAATCGTCGGCCTATAGCAGCCGAAGAGGGGAAACGTGCATGTACGCGCGCTTGAATTCATTTTCGATATTTGGTGTCCGGCGATGGAGCGGTTGGCCGGCGATGGAGCGGTGGTCGGAAACAAGTCTTATTATGATCTTTTAGGATTTTCTCTTTGCAACTAATCTGAAAAATACTCTCATCACTAGTACTTAAACGAATTAGTTTAACGTAAGCCCCACCTCTTCTTAATAAACATATGTAACATGCATATCATTCAAATAACATGTGACAATAGCCGAGGTAGCTAAAGCATACCATCACTTTTTATTTTCGTGGTAGCGGGTTCGAATCCCATTGAACATACTTTTTTTAAGCATTTTTTTTCTGTACATTCCTTTGATGGTATACTTATATTTTATATGTTTTAATTTTTGAAAAAAAATTACTTAAAAAGTTGTATTTCTATATTTAGCTGACTTGTACCTGAAAATTATTACAAAATTACATTTGCAATGTTTACTTAATTATCGTATATAAAATTTTCAGTCCTTGCAATGAGATAATCATTGTTATTTGAACATGGATAAATATTTAACATATAAATATATATTTGAAGCTTTTTTTATCAGTTTGATCAACTTTTAAAGAACAAAATGTGCATCGATATTAATCCTTTTTAATTTGAGAATAATTCATAAATAAATAATTTTGTACAAGGCTTTACATATTTTGGCTTTTTAACAATTAAAATGACGTTTCATTTCCAGCACGAGAAAAGCCAAAGATCGGTGGCGGTGGTGGGGGGCTTCCCTCGCGCGCTTGGAAATACTGAAAGTCCGCGTTCAAATCGACGCGCTTCGCAAAAATCAGGCGAACTATTGCATCAAATTCGATCATTTTTTTTTAATTTGGGGTAGCTTCAAAATTTATTGAGATTGGTTTAGTTGTAATTACTATATTTAGTGCCAATCGTTTATTATTAACTTAATTGAATTCATACATATCAGTGTATGTATAAATTCCAAATAATTATTACTTGCTATCCGTAAATATGGATACGGATAAATAATAATCAATATATTTTCAATTATTAATAACAATATTTTAATTTATATGCATACGTAGGCTATAGTTTACATGATTTCTTATTTTCTAATCGTGCCTAGTTCTTTTCGGCGCAGACTCATTTATTTCGTTTTCATTGCATTCTTCATTCAACATTACTTCTACAAGACTACTTAAATTATACTCTTTGTTTGTTTGAACAAAGAGTATAATTCTTCGTCGATTTGAACGCGGACTTTCAGTATTTCCAAGCGCGCGAGGGAAGCCCCCCACCACCGCCTCCGATCTTTGGCTTTTCTCGTGCTGGAAAATGAAACGTCATTTTAATTGTTAAAAAGCCAAAATATGTAAAGCCTTGTACAAAATTATTTATTTATGAATTATTCTCAAATTAAAAAGGATTAATATCGATGCACATTTTGTTCTTTAAAAGTTGATCAAACTGATAAAAAAAGCTTCAAATATATATTTATATGTTAAATATTTATCCATGTTCAAATAACAATGCTTATTTCATTGCAAGGACTGAAAATTTTATATACGATAATTAAGTAAACATTGCAAATGTAATTTTGTAGTAATTTTCAGGTACAAGTCAGCTAAATATAGAAATACAACTTTTTAAGTAATTTTTTTTCAAAAATTAAAACATATAAAATATAAGTATACCATCAAAGGGATGTACAGAAAAAAAATGCTTAAAAAAAGTATGTTCAATGGGATTCGAACCCGCTCGAAAATAAAAAGTGATGGTATGCTTTAGCTACCTCGGCTATTGTCACATGTTATTTGAATGATATGGATGTTACATATGTTTATTAAGAAGAGGTGGGGCTTACGTTAAACTAATTCGTTTAAGTTCTAGTGATGAGAGTATTTTTCAGATTAATTGCAAAGAGAAAATCCTAAAAGATCATAATAAGACTTGTTTCCGACCACCGCTCCATCGCCGGCCACCAAATATCGAAAATGAATTCAAGCGCGCGTACATGCACGTTTCCCCTCTTCGGCTACTATAGGCCGACG